GGTGTGGAACTCTTAAAAAAAAACTTACAAAGTTCGTAATGCCGTCAGGCCATTGAAGGTGCCGTTCTTTGTTGTGGTTATTCTGTTTTCCTGCAGATATCTGAAAGATTGTGAAGAATGAAAGTGAATATATATATATAGCACCCTTTTCTCTAAAAATAAATGGGACAGTTAAAACTTTAAATACAGCAAAGCGTCAGTAAAGATTGAAGGCATTGGATATTATGGTATGGAAGACTAACCCTAACCCTAACCCTGAAGACTTATATTTAAATAAATATATATTACATACAAGCTTAAAGTCTTTCTTATCTTGTTAAATCTCAGTATTAATGAATGCATGTTTATTGTGAAGGGATTATTATTCAAACCTCCCACCTCCCTAAAAAGGGGAAAAAAGTTAATGAACTTACAGTCTAATTTTGATAAATCTTTGAATGAATCATGTTGTAGTTGATAGTCTTTTTAATTATGAATTAACCTTATAACTGATATTGTCAAATCATTGACCGAATCTATACATAGGATAACTGTTTGAAGGATTGATATTGCGAATTTGATGGAATAAGGAACTTACATTTCGTATATTTTCGTCAAATTAACGAATGCATTGTCCTCTATTGTGCTTATACTGTTATTGTGTAGATCCCTGAAAGATAGAGCAAAGAGTGAATGTCAGGTGCAAGTTTTTGTCAATTTATAATTTATAACAATTTTAGCTCATTTAAAAAAAAATATTATCATGAAACGAATAGTATTCAATATCAAATTTAAATCAAGGTTAAATTTTTTGCAGAATATAGTATTTCGAACAAGTATTTCTTTGCTACTACGAAGAGTTATGACTTCTGATATTATCTACCGGTATATAACAGATTAATTTAATAGCCATTCCTGAAGTGATATATATCAAAATGTTTTTGCAATTAAAACTCGTGTATATTCAATTCTAAATGTTAGTTCCTACAAATTACAATGCAGAGGCAATTAGCTGAACAGAAATAGTCGAAGTTACAGATGTACCCTTGTGCAATGAAAATGGATTTTCCGCCTCCCTTTGTTACTCGATTATTACGAAGTCATTGGGGCCAACGGAATCATTTCACTATATACGTAATTCGTTATAACCGTATTCCTTGGGACCAAAGATGACTTCGTTATATCCGTTAATTCCTTATATCCGTGTTCGTACTGAACGAGTTTTGTTGTATTTGTTTGTTAGTGTTCAGGAACATCTAAAGGATGTATTGACGACTCCTTGAAACAGCGTCATGCATTCGACGTCTTCAAATAGTTCACATTTAAGATATATTCATATCTTTTTGTCAGTTTACATGAATCAGTCTTTCCTTGTTATACAACAGGACACTATATTTTTCCTAAGGTATGACGCAAGTTATAACTCTGATTATAGTTTTACTTTGAATATTGTACTAGAACTGCAGGCGAAACTTTCTGGTCGGTCAAACTAGCCGTTTAAGTTTTAAGTTGTACCTGTATCTTGTATTGCATATTCTGTCAAATGATGCATGGTTAACAAATAATGACATAGTGGAACATAACTTTAGTACAAAGAAAATGTAATAAACATTCTCCAAACGACTAAAATGTGTTGCTTTCAGCTTTTTGATAATCCACATACAGTTTATAAACAGATTTGGTAAACGACCATAGGAAGGGAACCCCCCCCCCCCCCAAAAAAAAATGATAGTGAATAATATTTTAAATACTCGATAGAAAACACAGCTACTTTATGCTTGTGCTCCATCAATTGAAAAAGTATTTTCTTTGGCTGGTTAATGATTTTTTTTCTTTCTTTTTCTTCCTTCTTTTTGTGGCAGTTTCATAAAACTGAAAATATATGGTTGTGCCCCCCAACTTCAGCTGAAATGCATTTGAGCCAGTTAAGGAAGATCTCTACACCTATGAAGCATTACTGATTTTTGTTGCATGCATTTGTTTTAAATAATAGACTCAATATCCGATAAAATTAGGTTCCAAAGCATTTTAACTTTTTTTTTAAATATTAAGAATATTTTAATTTATTTTGTTAAAACCCCTCCTTACTATATTTTCAAAAGCCCAGTGCTTTAAATTTCTCTTCAAAGTTAATGTTATAAAATATTGAAATAATAACCAACAAAGTTAAAAAGAAAATCTACATTTTTTTTAATCTCAATTTACAAAAAATAGAAAAACAGCATTTTCTTGAAAATAACCGGTTGGATTTTCTCCAATTTCTGAAAAGATACATTATATCAAAGGTCAAAAACAATGAAAAAAAAATGAAATTGAACAAAATACATCACAAAAATTAGAGTTTGAAAGATCTGCTTCAAGAGTAGGCTCAAATATCTTGGTAATGTTTTTCTATATACTTCAAATAAACTCTACTTAAACTTGCACAAGTATTGAAAAAAGATGTCAAGCAAAGACATTGAAAGAAGTCCATATTTTATTGTTTTTTAGATGGGTTTAAGCGAAAACCATCACGTTTCTAGTCAATGACAAAGACATGTATTTCGTGACATCATGGTATTGAGAAAGGTAGATTTACTTACCGTTTGTATCCAACTTGCATGTGTTATCCAGTGTTAGATATAACATAACATGTAAACATGGTAGATGGCCAAAAAAGCGTAAAAAAAAGAAATTCCTGTAACCAAATTCTTTAAAAAGCTGCACGTTTACCATACAAACAGATGATAATCAGTGTTGATCAAACGTTTGAGTCATGCAAAATTCCTCTTACTGCCGAAACGTTTTAGTAATTCTATGAAGAGGTACGATTTCACCGGGTATAACCACACATTCGGGTGTATACAAATCGTGAACAAGTATCTACTAGTCGCTAGGAAGATGATACATATGCCTAATCTTATCAAAATTGCATTTTTGTGGGATATACTTTCCTGGAGTTTATGAAGAAAAAAACATTGACACGTAATGATGAATTAGCATATGTTTTATGCATTTTTTCCGACCTTAAAATCATATTTATTCTTATAAGTTTGTAAATATATATTTTTTAAATTAAATTAGTACAAATTGAATAAATTTACAAACAATCTTTCTAAATAAAGAATACTTATTGGGCTGATTTGATTTAGGTGATACAATGCACATTCCTTTCACAATATCGCATGTTGTGTTATGCTCGATGATTTCTCGGTGTGAATTGAATCAGATCATTTGGGATCATAATGGTGTTTCAATAGACGTACGCCATGCTGTGACGTTGTAGAGACCCCCCTTAAGTGACAAAAAACCCCAAGTCGCCAGCTGGCGCCTAATCATAAAAATCTAGTCGCCAGGCATGTTTTTAAAGGTGCCAACTTTAAAAGACGATAGTCATCATTATTAAAATGTGCTTTCACTAATAATAATAATGCTAATAAATATAGATGACAGTGAAAGGAAAAAAAACATGTCCATTTCCAATTTTAATAATTTTATACTGTTCTATTTTGTCTGCTCGCTTCTTTAAAAAATATTTAAGAAGAATATAACATAAATAATGAAAAAGGCACAAAGCAATCTGTGTGAACATCGCCATCTAATACATCACCCAAGAAGATATACTGTCTACCATATTTCTACGATATAAATGCTGGTTTATTTCTATAAAGTTATATTTTAAATGTAAAAAGTTACTATCTCTCTCTCTCTCTTTAAAACACACTTTTATTTTCCTCTAATTTTCCTTTTTTTTAAATAATATTGTAAGTGATTACAAAAACAATTTGACATGAGAAATGTTAAAAAAACAATGTGTTTATAACATTTTCCATTATATTTTACACATATACTTATAATTCCGATTTAAATTTTTATATAGGTGCAATCACTTTTCCCGAGAAAAATATCGAGATACGGAAAGTTAAGGCGAATTACGTACGTTCGTAAGATGTCGGTGAACAATTTTTTTTATTTTTTTTTGTTGTTTGTGAATATTATATTCTTAATGACGTTCAAAATACAGGAACCTTTTGTATAAAACTATCTCAAACTCGAACTATTTACTTATTTTACTAAATGCTGTAATGCACTTTTGGAGAACCAATCTAGATAAGGTTAAATAATCAATGATCTGCTATTCAGGGAACAGCGTAATATGACATCTTGGTGTAAGTAAAGAAAAAATAAACCCCTCTTAAAACGGGTGAATCGATCATACATTGCATGGATTTCAATCAAAATAATATTTTAAAACTTAAACTTTTTTCAAATAAAAACATCAGAATTATTTGATTAAACCCAATCACAACTTAAAGCTCGCAGATGTATGCGTTGTGGACTTGTGCATGTTTTGCGTGTTTTCCGTCTTTAGTGTTTCAGTTTATTTCACATTGTTTACCTTACGTCCACTTTCATGTCTTGTATGATGTAAATGGTTTGCATTAGCTTAAAATTTATATTTAAAACGATGAATCAAAGCTTACAAAAAACCCTCCAATCTCGTCATGTGTATATTAGATATAAATAAGGACACATAAAATTGAACTTGATCCTTAGAAGATATAATTAATATAATCATTCCGAATTAAAGATCAAACAAAATTTCAAAAAAGAACATCGAGATAATTTTACACAAATCTCATAAGACAGCAAATAACCCACTGAATAAGATATCAGATATATGCAGTAAGTAGTGTATGTATACACTTTGAAAAAGGAACAAAAATAGGTCCTTGCCAAGCTTTGAAAGATTTATGCTGTAACAAACTAAATTTAATCCCGTAGGATACCCCTAGTGCGTGAGTGTAAATATTGTTATTTATCCTGTGGGGAGCCCCTCAATGTGTAATTTTATCTACCTGAGAGCTCGTGTTTGGGTAGTACCCGGGAAGTCACAGCCGAGATAAGACCTGTTTGGCTTGTTGTTATGATGAAGTAGCCTGGGCGGGTACTCAAACTACATCAGGTATTTGAAAATACAATTTGTAAAATATGTTTTCTTGTTTGAATCTACACGTTTAGTATGGTTGTTTTATTATATTTTTCCCCAGGGTCCTATTTCCTCGGGCTTTTGTCCCGTTTCGTAATTATCAGGTCTTGGGCGGGGTACTACAGCTTATTACATTGACAATAGCCAGTCCGCAGTCCAGGGTGACAGGGAGAGGCTTGCTGAATGTGTAATGGTTTTGCAGTAGCAGCGGCAACTGTGTGAGAGAGTACGAAAGAGTACGGCAGCCCTGACGGACACATCGGGACCAGCAATTTAAAGTTATGTGTTTATCTTGAATAATGAAATCTCCTGTTTGAAATAATATCAATTCAAACCAAAGATAATCCAGACGGCATTGTGAAAGTTTATTATGTGATATATGTGATACTTGTGAAAGTTATAATATTCAATTTAATTTGTGAAAGAAAACACGTTTATCAGAGAAAATTCAAAAACCGGAACTCAAACCTTCAGCAAGGGTGTGGTGATTAATTGACGTTTTAAAGAACATTCTTCCAGGACTGACGTGCTGCTGACAGACAATTCATTTCTATATTTTTTAATTTGTTTTTTTTTGTTGTTGTACAATTTACTTTTGTTTTGTTTATTAAATTTTGTTAAAATTTCATTTTGCTTTGTTTCCTTCATTTATTCAAGTTCTTAAAGTGTATAACCCACATCTCAACAATTTGGTGGCAGCGGTGGGATACATCTGAGCTTGGGTAAATAGAGGAAATATTTTTTTTTTGCAATTTTGTTTCTATTATTAATTTTGCTTTTGTGTTTCAGGTTCACAAACTTTCACAATGTCTGATATGCCAGAGTGGATGTCTGACTTAATTGAAAAGGGTACAAACGTAAAAGAATGTCTCGAGATGTGGCGTCAGGAACAGGAATCCAAGAGAGAGCTCGAGAGGGAGAGATGAGCGCAAGAGAGAGAAGAGCGCCAGGCACAGAGAGAAAGCGCAAAGCTAGAGGTAGAAAGAGATTTGAAATTACGAGAGGTAGCTGTAAGAGAAAAAGAGCTAGAACAGGCTAAAATTGGGGGGTCTCAACCTCATGAGATTAAATGCCCACCTGTTAAGTTACCTAAGTTTGAGGAGGGACAGGACCCTGATGTCTTTTTACGGTCGTTTGAAAAGATAGCTGGGTTGCAGAAATGGCATAAATCCCAGTGGGATATACGCTTAGTTCCTATGTTAGCAGGTAAGGCTTTAGAAGCGTATTCAAGGTTGTCGGATGCAGATAGTGATAACTATGAGATTATCAAAACAGCTATTCTCAAGAGATATGAGCTTACTTCTGAAGATTACAGGGAAAAATTTCGTCAGGGTAAGCAGTCAAATGATGAGTCATTTAAAGATTTTGTTGTTAGGGTAGAAAGGTACCTCAATCACTGGTGTGAACGTGAGAAAATAGATTCAGATTTTGGCAAGTTATATGATATGGTCTTGAGAGAACAGGTTGTTAGAAGTTGTCCAAAAGACTTACAGTTGTGGATTCTGGAGCATGACCCGAAGTCTATTGAGGAGGTTGTTGCGTTGTCTAATGCATTTCAGGCGGCACATAAGAGTAAGTATCTTAGTAGCAATAGTGTCCAATTTCATAGTACAGGGAATAGGTCGACGGGAAAGCCAAACAAGTTTAGTTCGACAAATTCTCAAGATGGTAAGTCAAATCTCAAGTCTCACTTTAATGCAGGGGATAGCAGAAAGTGTTTCATTTGTGATAGAGTAGGACATATTGCAGCCAACTGTTTTCTTAAGAGAACTCAGTCAAAGGGTCAAGACAGTAAAGGTCAGAGAGGTACAAAGCCTGAGAAAAGGTCAGAAAATGTTGGTTTGTGTTTAGATAAGTCTGAGTCTAAAGTTGTAGACAATATACAAGATACAACCAAAGGTAGGGTGATTCTTAAGTTGTCCGGAGTTGATAACGAGTCGCCAGTAATTGAAACATCAGCAGCATTGGGTTTGGATTTAGTAAAGGGCCAGGTGAGTGATCAACCAGTTGCAGTCTTACGAGATACCGGATGCTCTACTGTATTTGTACGTAGTAAGTTTATTTCAGACTCTGATAAAACAGGATGTTCAAGAGTGATAACTCTGGCTGATGGATCTCAAAGAAACTGTGATGAGGCAATGGTAGATTTGAAGACTCCTTATGTATCAGGTAAGGTACATGCCCTTGTCCTTGATTCTCCATTTGCTGATGTAATTATTGGTAATAATGTTAGCATACTTAAACCAATGGAGGACGAAAAAGAAGTCAAGAGGGATGGAGATGACGACAACACTTGTGCTGCAGTTCAGACACGTTTGCAGGCCAAATTGGAGCAAGGTAATAGTAGTTCTCAGAGAAAAGCAACAGAAAAGGATTCAGAGGATGAATCTTTGAAACAATTGTGGTGCAGCAGAGAGAAGTTGGTAGAACTTCAGGAATCAGATGACAGTTTGAAATCTGCACTGAGTATGGCACAAGACGATAGTCAAGAAGGTAAGTCTTACTTTCAGAAACAGGATGGTTTACTGTATAGAATATTTCAGAAAGATTCTGGTGAGAAACTTTCCCAGATCGTCATACCAAAGACAATGTGGTCAAAGGTAATGTCCCTGGCTCATGACACTCCACTAGCAGGACATTTAGGTAACAAGAAAACCAGGCAGCGTATTATGCAACATTTCTTTTGGCCTGGAATGTATATTGACATATCTCGATTCTGCAAATCTTGTTCTATTTGTCAAAAGGGAACACCAAAAGGTCGAACTCCAAAAGCTCCACTCATTCCTATTCCACCCATTGAGGAACCATTCTCAAGAATAGCCATCGATTTTGTTGGACCTCTTCCCTTGACGGAGAAGAAAAATCGTTACATCTTGATTTGTATGGACTACTCAACACGGTATCCGGAAGCATTTCCTTTGAAAAACCAAGAAGCAGAGACAGTGGCCAACACTTTGATAGAGCTGTTTTCTAGGGTAGGTGTGCCTAATGAAATTCTGTCGGACCAGGGTACCAATTTTATGTCCACACTGATGACTGAATTGTGTAAGTTACTTCAGGTAAGAAAATTAACAACTACCCCTTACCATCCACAAGCAAATGGGTTAGTGGAAAAATTTAATGGGACTTTGAAGAAAATGCTGAAGGCATATGCTTCTTCTGAACCTTACAAATGGGATGTTCATTTGCCTTACGTCCTTTTTGCATACAGAGAGGTACCAAATGAGACAACTGGGTATTCTCCCTTTGAATTGCTGTATGGTAGACATGTTAGGGGGCCCTTAGCAATTTTGAAAGAGCAGTGGGAGGAACCTACAGTGGAACAGGCTTCAGTATTGTCCTATATTCTGGAGACGAGGGAGAGAATGCAGAACATTAGAGATTTGGTTAAAGATTCAGAGAGACTCGCGAAAAAGAAACAAAAGATTTACTACGACAAAAAGGCGAGAAGTCGTACATTTGAGGTAGGTCAGAAAGTTCTTGTACTTCTTCCAACTAGCACATCTAAGCTGATGGCGCAATGGAAAGGTCCGTATGAAGTAGTGAAAAAGGTAAGTCCAGTGGATTACAAGGTAAGAATATCCAAGAATAAAGAACCGGTTTACCATGTCAACATGTTGAAAGAGTGGTTTAGCAGAGATTCGGAAGAGAAGTGTCCGAAAAGCAATGAAGTTTTGGCTATGTATGGATGCAAAACCAAATTTTTCAGATGAGGACGATTGCACTAACCATAGAGCACCAATCCTTCAACAGACAGAATCATCAGATAATGTTGAGATATCGTCAGAACTGTCAGAAGAGCAGAAACGACAACTCAAAAGGTTAGTAGAAGAATTTGAGAATGTATTTACAGAGAATGTATTTACAGATGTCCAAAGAAAACGTCGTCTTTTACATCCAGCACACCATTAAAACGACAACCGAGGAACCATTAAAATAGCAGAAGAAACCTTATTCCATTCCGTTTTATTAATTTGTTTTCGCTACAGGAAATAAGCTTTCATGAATAAAATTTCTCCTTACACGTAGATGTCATTATCTGGAAATCAAGCAGATTTTTTAAAAAGTTTAATTTTTGTTCATGCGAATCATAGAGGAAAAGGTAAAGAAAATGCATGAGCAAATAAGTGGAAAACAAGCAGAGAGTATTAAATATTTGTCGCCTATTGTAATCATTAAATAAATAAATTAAAGCATCTTTAATTATTTTTATATATATTATGGACATGACGACAATTTTATATCCCTTAGCTTTCTCTCTCTCTCTCTCTCTTAAATTATTTGTTAAGGCTTCTGCGCCTATTGTGATTTTCAGTCAATGGATCTTTTTTCAATAAGTTTTAAGTCTAATGTTCTAATATTATGTTCCTTAGTTAAAAAATCATAACTTGATTTTTTCCATTAATGATGCTTGTTGTTCAAGAATGGATGTTTTAGAATCGGGTCAATATTATTTCTAAATATCGTTACGACTTGCGTTTTTGTAAAATAAGAATTTTGTAGAGCTGTGTTTGTATCAGTAAGATGATCTGTAGCCAAGAATGGAAGTGATATTCTAAACAAAATCTTACGAATTTTTTAGGCAAAATATCAGAAAAGTCATTTATTCATGCTTTTGTTACAAAATCCATACATTTAAGGTTTTTTTTCTCGGATTAAGGGTTTTGGTGAACAATTAATGGTTTCACTAAACAATCTTTCTCTTTATATCTATATGACGAATTTCTCGTCTACGTATTTACCGGTCCCAAACCATCGTTAGCAAAATTCAGAAAAGTTTTTGTTACACCTCCCCCGGTCATATCCTTTTATCTGTAAATAAAATATACTCCCCGGCCTATGGCATTTAAGCATGCTCACCTACATTTTATTTTGTGGTCTATGTAACTTTTGTGAGATTGGTGAAAAATGTAAAGTCCTTGAAGGTCATGAAAATTATGCAGAAGCTTTTATAGATGACATTGGTGTTTTCAGCGATTCCTGGGAAGATCACTTGGTACATTTGAGAGATTGAAATCAATTTAAAGGTGTCCTTTCAACTTTTTACCAGCAAAATTAAAATCGATCAATTCGATCATTTACTAATATAAATGTAGTAACATATTAAATTAAGTCTCATTTCAGTTCTTATTTCCCATTCCATAAAATCAAATAAAAAAAAATTAATGTTGCAGAATGCAAATTTAGCATTTGCCGGTTGCACCGTCAAAGTGTAAATTGGGGTTTGGTGAGGTCAGTTTCCTCGGACATATGGTAGGTGACGGTAAGATAAAGCCATTGTTGTCAAAGGATAGCATAATTTTCTTTTTATTTACAGTTTATTTTTCAATAAGATCTAATGCAAGCAATTCAATATATTCATTCTATTAATAATTCATTTGATTATTGTCCCAAATACCAAAAAGAAGGTTAGGTCATTTTTGGGTCTCATTGGATTTTACTGGAAGTTTATTCCTAATTTTTCTAGTCTTGCCTTACCACTCACAGACTTGACCAAAAAGAATTCACCACACAAAATAAAATGGACAGATAATCTTGATACTGCATTCAAGGAACTTAAAGGTAAGTTGGCATGTGAACCAATATTGCACAGTCCAGATTTTAGTCGAATGTTTGTCTTGCGTACAGATGCAAGTGCTACTGGAGCAGGCGCAGTTCTCGAACAAGAATTCGACACTGGTAAGCACCCAATATTCTTTTTGAGTAAAAAGTTTACAGCAGCAGAGAAAAACTATGCGGTGATTGAAAAAGAATGTTATGCAATTATCTGGGCTGTCAAATCACTCCGAGTGTATTTAGAAGGTAAGCAGTTTGTTATTGAAACTGATCATGCTCCATTGACGTGGTTACAGAGATCAAAACTGTCAAATCAGAGGCTTTTGAGATGGAGTCTTCTATTGCAGGAGTTTTGTTACACAGTTCGGTATGTTCCAGGTAATCAGAACGTTATTGCAGATGCGTTGTCAAGGTCAAGTGAAGAGTTAGATTAAATCAAGGTCATTGATGAATATTTCCAGTTTGTATATATGTGGTTGATTTCTATGTATTTAGTTTGTAAATAGGTTGGACTAAATGGTGCTTTAGTCTTCAAAAGGGGGAGGTTTGTAACAAACTAAATTTAATCCCGTAGGATACCCCTAGTGCGTGAGTGTAAATATTGTTATTTATCCTGTGGGGAGCCCCTCAATGTGTAATTTTATCTACCTGAGAGCTCGTGTTCGGGTAGTACCCGGGAAGTCACAGCCGAGATAAGACCTGTTTGGCTTGTTGTTATGATGAAGTAGCCTGGGCGGGTACTCAAACTACATCAGGTATTTGAAAATACAATTTGTAAAATATGTTTTCTTGTTTGAATCTACACGTTTAGTATGGTTGTTTTATTATATTTTTCCCCAGGGTCCTATTTCCTCGGGCTTTTGTCCCGTTTCGTAATTATCAGGTCTTGGGCGGGGTACTACAGCTTATTACATTGACAATAGCCAGTCCGCAGTCCAGGGTGACAGGGAGAGGCTTGCTGAATGTGTAATGGTTTTGCAGTAGCAGCGGCAACTGTGTGAGAGAGTACGAAAGAGTACGGCAGCCCTGACGGACACATCGGGACCAGCAATTTAAAGTTATGTGTTTATCTTGAATAATGAAATCTCCTGTTTGAAATAATATCAATTCAAACCAAAGTTAATCCAGACGGCATTGTGAAAGTTTATTATGTGATATATGTGATACTTGTGAAAGTTATAATATTCAATTTAATTTGTGAAAGAAAACACGTTTATCAGAGGAAATTCAAAAACCGGAACTCAAACCTTCAGCAAGGGTGTGGTGATTAATTGACGTTTTAAAGAACATTCTTCCAGGACTGACGTGCTGCTGATAGACAATTCATTTCTATATTTTTTAATTTGTTTTTTTTTTGTTGTACAATTTACTTTTGTTTTGTTTATTAAATTTTGTTAAAATTTCATTTTGTTTTGTTTCCTTCATTTATTCAAGTTCTTAAAGTGTATAACCCACATCTCAACATATGCAGAGGGCAAGTTTAATTTTTTTTTCAGAAACACTTCTGTTTTTCTCCTGATTGTGTCAAAAGTTAAACAGCTTTAGTATCATAAAATATCTTTTTACTGACTATTCGAACAATAGCTAGTTTATCATCCCCCTCGACATCAATCTATTTGCCTTGCCTGCATCCTGCGAAATAGTTGCTGTCTTGAGGGACGATAAACGTGCTGTCGTCCTCATAGACATAATTGGTAAACACACCAAGATTATTGCCTTCCTTACAGGTAGACATCAAACAAAATGTTTCAAAATTGTAATGAGCATTGAGTTATTATGAAAGTCATGACCCTATGGTATCGGTTGATCAAGTGTATAGGCAAGGCTCCATTGATCATTTGCTGAAAGTGAATAGATTTATTGATAATCTCTATAATGCTCCTAATTTGAAAGAAAACGAACTAAGGTCATAACTGAATAAGTTTTATACCTCTGTAATGAAATATTATAGGTTACCTGTATATAATTTGTGCCCTGTCTGTCCGCAAAACTTTTACATTCGTCTAACAATGTTGTGATTCGAGGTATAGCTTTCATATTTCACAGGTTTTTTGATTGCGACAAGACTATTTATTTGAAACCACCAAATTTAACCTTTTGACTTGAACTTGGAGTAAAGCAAACTTTTTTGAAAATTTTAAAACTTTATCCTGGCTATGATATTTGAACAGTTGGTGCTAGGATTTCATACTTCACTTGTGAATTTACTGTGACAAGATCTTCCAATTGGTATAAACATATTTGACCTTGGATTTCTAGGTTGACCCACTTTTAAAATCATTAACTTTGACCATAAACTATGAGCTGTTAGTACTGGGCTTTTACGAGAAGCACTGACTTTAAAAGTTGATTGTTTACTTGGACATTTACACCAGTGTTTTCTACGGAGGTAAGAAATTGAAAATGGATTGATAATGGATAAGAAAACCTTTCTAGTGGTCATAGTTATGGTATTAGGGTCACTTGTATGTCAAGGCCTTGATTTGAGGGTAGGATAAGGTCGTTTCCTCAAGGGCAACTTAATGTGCTTTAAAAAAGCCCGTTGTTTTAGTTGAATTAAAGGTTGAGCTAAATATTCATTTATTAAAGGAGCTTCCATAAACTTTCCTAGTGTGAGAATAATTAAACTGTAAAATTCAGCGCTTCTCGTATAAATCCACTAGGGCTTTCATATTGAACAGGTTTATTTTTGTGGCAAGATTTTCCTTTCGATATTACAATTTTGACCTTTGACCTTGACCTCGGAGTTTGACTTGCACTCAAAAAACTTCAACCATAAGCTGCCATACGATGGTATCAATGTTTCACAAACAGTTTTTTCAGTTCACTCACAAATCAATACTTTTTGATTTTTTATGCATATTTGAGGGTATAGTGAAAAATCTAGTTTACCAGATCAAGGTTATGAATACTTATAAAAGATTATTGTTATTAATTACCATATTAAATTTCTACAAAGAAACAACCATTGTTATTTTGTGGAAAATAATAATGCTTAGAAAAAAAATTATATTTTGATATCAATTTAAATCGAACTAAATTAATATTTTCATGTTCTTAACATGCAGATTAAAGGGAATTGGAGAAAAATCAATTGATGTTAAATACTCGACATTAAATTTGTTAACTATTTGTGTTATAATTGTGTAATAACTTGTTACTTAATAATGTGTATTGTTTCTTTATGAGTAGGTCCCATCCCGAGAGAGGGAGTGTGTGGAATAAGGCAAACTACGTGTCCAGTGAAATGTTGTCACTCTTATGGCAGAATAAATATATTTGAAACCTTTTGACTTTTTTTTCATGGAAAATTCGGGTAGTATGGATTAAAGGCAACATCTGAAGGCGATGCAACCCCTTGACAACTGACCGAAGCAGAGATGTCTCAGTCCTGAGAGCTAGACAGATGTTTCAGGGTTTATACACTAATAGGTATATAATATTAAAAGATTTTGCACTAATTTTAAACAAAAATGGTAAGGAATTCTTTAAACTAAAACTTACAAGTTGACCAAGTTCGACAAACCAGTGAATTGTCTGTTCCTTAATACAGTTATCATGTTGTCGCGCAGATATCTGAAAAAATGTAAAGTAAATGTCAAAAGCAAGATTTGTTTCAATAAAAATTAATATTCCTTGAAAGTTCATTTTTTGTACGAAAAAACACACAGATAAGATACAAAAACAGTTCCTTGACAACGAGCCGATGCAGAAATGTCTTAGCACCGAGGGCGAGACAACCCAGTTCCCAGACGTAATATGGTAAAACTTGTCTCATTAACATGATGATATATATTATAAAACACCATTTTTCAAGTGTTCTATATATGAATGCTCTCTAAGTTTATAAAAGCTAATAGATGATAGTTCCTATAAAAAAAAAACAGATTAAACCCACCTATATTGTGTTTTGAGAAGTTGCATATATAAACGAAAGAGGTTTATATATTTTATTTTGAAAAATATCTAATATAAAAGCTCTTATGCATAGTCATTATCGATATATGTGAAAAGTTACATAACATATATATATATATATTCCTTGCATGTGTTAAGATGATCCTGTTTTTTTTGTCCAAAACTTTAATAAGGATAATAAAATAACACCTTCTGAAGGACATTAGAAGTGTTTGATTAAGGGGGGACCTATGTCCGAAAAGTCTTTGTGTGAAATTTTCAAAACTTTGACATTTCATTCCTTAACACTTGCTCTTAATTTTCAAGTATTAAAAACAATACCTTTATATGCTTATTTTTACACAGGAGCACGTGCAAAAACAGTGTGAAATGCTAAAAATAGATTATTTTCAGACATTATTGTTCTACACCAAATATGCGCTAAAAAAGCCAAAAATGTCAAATCACATTCAAAATCAACAGGTATTTAATTTATATGACTTGTGTCTTTAAGATGAAGGCAAATTCATTGTAATTCATCTCGCATGAAAAATTATAATGGAGCACAATGTAAGTATCACCCCGTTTTTCTTGTCGTATTTTTTACAATTCCGACATGCATTACAGGTAATATCTTAAAAAGACTTTGTGTGAAAATATTGTAATTCATATTTTTTGAAAGAAATGATTCATCTCTTTATTGTAACAAAGAAAAAAGTATACCTTTATGATAAAATAAACGAGAAATATGACGATTTCTTTTATTTTCGTGCTCTTCTGTCATAAATATTGACCTTTCTGCACTAAAAGAATGGTTACTAAGCGCTGACAACCATCTGATCATTAAAACTTTTTTTGCGAAAAACGAGTATTTTGTTTTGACTAGAAGCAATTTAAACAGATTAATTCTTTTCTTCTTTATTCCAGTCATTCTGTCCCCCCCCCCCCCCCCCCCCCCCGCCATTTCCCCATCAACAACCAACACATATTAGAACCTAGGAATGACTTTATGCAATAAAATCTACATGTACTATAAATCAATAGGCAAATATAGGTAAAAGCACATTCTTAATTTTTTTCTTAGTTTTATCCAGAAAATACAATTAATGGTCCACATGAAATTAAACATATTTTCCTGATTTATGCCGCTTTCTTTGCTGAATTTTATCTTATCTTTTTGCACTTATGTATCAGCATATCATCGAGGTATTTCTTAACAACTGAAATTCCTATGAATTTTCAACCAAAAGAAGAGAATTCTAATATTAACAAGCTCCATAATTCAAATAAAACTGTTATTAATGATGAATAAATTTTCTTTTTGTAAATTGTGTACGTTATTGATTATTAACAACGTTATGCCAATATCACAGTTGCAAAAGTCAACAGGTGAAAACAAATGTCGCTATTGTGACGTCACATAACGCTGCTTTGACGTAGAACGACATAGGTTCTCCCTTAAGTACCGGTTAAAACAGATCTTTTTATCTAAATAATTGAATTCCTCTGTATGTTTGATGTATAGCTTATTTACTGTTCCTTTAATTTTATGTAATGGTTTCTTTATAACATTTACCCGAAAGACAAATATGTAAGATAATATGTAAGATAAAGTAACTGCATTAAAACATGTTATTTCTTACATTCGTAAACTAAAGAATAATTCCAATAACAAATAAGGAAAAAAAAACATTCCACTTTTCCTTTTATTTTCTTTGATGCTTTTTGAATGAACAAATAAAGAATAAATGAATAAATAAATATAACAAAATTCAATTTTTAAAAGTTTTTTTTTTATTATTAACACCACTACGTAGTGAAATTAATGAAATTTTATTCAACCCTACCCATGTGTTCGGGACCTTTTTTCTGTGTACTGCAAAGTATAAAACTCGACGATTTCAGAGTAGCTCTGACAGTATCTCTGGCGAGAGTTAGTGAGACTTTAGCGAGATAGGGTAAATTAGTTACGGAAATGTGGCAAGGAAGTGAGTAGCACGTTGAGACACGGTAAACAGCGCAGGGATGATAAGGAAGCATACAAAACATTTTACCTTGACTAGATCAGTGTTATATTATGACGTCATAGTAGGCCAAATGACGTTAATTTTATAAAACAAGTTTTCATAATATTGGTATTTACAAATGTAATTTAACTCTAGAAAATGAATAGATACATGTATACAATAACAAAACTAAAATGTTTTTATTTAGTTATGCTGTATCTGTCATATTTATTATAGTATGGTATTGTTGTTCTGCTTTTTTATTACGGAAAATTTCGCTATAAATAGAAGACACGTAATGCCGTGGCGGTGGTGCACACCTTTGCATAAGACACTCTTTTATCTGTATGCAATTGTTAATAACAATTTACCTTTATCAGTGGTTTTGATAATTTATCAATCTTAATTTTCTTTAAAAAGTCAAATTTCCCGAAAAATAACTTATATGCTTCCTTAACATACCCGCGAGAAAAGTTATGTTGCGTTTTAGTTTTCACAACCCTATAATATCATTCTGTAGAAATGTACTTCAATCGATCTCTATTGAATTCAATCAAGTTTAAATTATAAGTATTCTTTATGATACAATTTTCTGCTGTTCATGCACTTAAATTTCGTTTTTGACAAATATTTTGCATAAGAACCTGACCTATGTTTTTTGGCGTCAGATTAGCAAAGAGGCACCAATGTGACTTTAACTGACAATCATCTGAATGAGAAATGCATTATGGGTTACTACGAATACCATAGGAATTTTATGCTTGATATATTCCTTGATTGTACTATCGGTGAATACAATTGTCAGGTGGATTCCCTGGCCAACACACGTGATCACGAGTATGGTTGTATAAAAAATGTTTTGTCCATTTAAACAGCTGTTAAATGCATACGAGCGTTCATATATAGTTTCTAATGTTTGCATTTTGTTCATAAAACTTTTTTCATCTTGCACTCCACTGACATGATCATAGATTGACCTGAACCACTTGTTCGAAGTAACATGTAAATATGTTTTTGGCGTAAACGTACTCAATCAACAATTGTTCAATCCCTTTGTGCCCATTAATGGCAATAGCCATATAAGGCAAGCAAAAGTTTGTCATTGTAGATGATTTTACACTTTTTTACCAGCGGCGTAGCGGTCGCTAGTGAGCTGTTTTTTTGCAGTAAACTATGATAAGATGCATTAATTGTTATTCCCCCCTCCCTTTTAGCCACCGATTTCTGTAAAAAAATAAAAGTCTTTCAGAAAGGTCTGTAAACACATTTTTCACAGGAAATGTTTTTAGAAGAAACAGACTATATATAATTTCCTGTTTACTGCCAAGTTTGTTTCTAAAACCGGTTCTACCCTATAACCTTTGAATAGGTAAACCTAAACCACGTGTCTTGAATTTAAATTACAATAACATTAGAAGGGGTGATATTAGTTTTGTAAACTGATTTTAAATCATACCAAATAAATTGAATTTTACCATGCTGTTCTATTCTGTCCGTCATTTGAGTTTGTTTCAATATAAATTTAAACACGAGTGAGCAAAAGGTAGGTCATACTACCATGCATAAAATTTTTGATTCAATGCATGTGACTTTATATATTGATTATAGTTTTATTCACATAAGAAACTCCCTGAGGGAAAATAAATTTTACGGGCGAAGAAATCTTCATGTCCCCCGAATATTCATAAAATAAATCGTTTCTGCGTCAACCTTCCATTGTATTATATCAGATCCTTTCACTACTGAATTAAATATCCCCTTAGATTCCAAAAAAAATCCCCGTCGTCCCCCTGTCAGTCCCTCATCCCGTCTCTCCCTGATCTTCTCTTATGATACCCTGTCGTTGTCCCTGCTCTTCCTGTCCACTCCCTGCCGTTGTACCTGCCTACCCTGTCTCCTCCCTGTCGTCCCCTGATATTCTCTGATCTCCCTGTCCAGTCCCTCCCGTCCCCTGTCATTGTCCCATTGAAAAATTAATATTGTGCATAATGAGACGATTATTTTGATATCCATCATCTCACTTAAAAATAATAAAAATTGTTTCATATCCTAATAAAATACTTTGTAGCATATTTCAGTAAATAAATAAAATAAAACTTATAAATAAGATTTTGGGGATATAAATGAGTGTTTAATGAATGAATAAATAAATAATAAATAAATTTATTCAATTCTTATTATTTATTTATTTATCTATTTATTCATTCATTCTTAATTCATTGTACTTGAAGATTTATTTACATAAGAAAATAAATGAATAAAATAGATTTATAGTTTATTAAATAATTTTTATGTATTACTTAGACATTTATTTTATCAATGCATTTATATTTCATTCCTTTCAATTAATTCTTTATTCATTTTATTCATTAGAAGAAAAGTTACATGCCTAGATTTCATAATGTATTCTCGAATGTTTAAACCAGTTCTTTTACAAAGACAGTTATTATGCTCAAAGATGTTTCGAAGTAGATCAAATAAAAAGTGAAAAAGTTTTTTTTGAAATATATATAAAAGGTTTATAAACAATATGTATATGCCGTCTAGCATCACAAGACGCAATAAATTGGTAATTTATTTCTTCTTTAGAATCGATGCAATTCTCTGCCGTTCTTTCCTCGAAATGCTACCAAACTAAAAAAATCAAATTGATACAAGTAATAGAAAC